GATGTCCTTCTCCAGGGACTGGTCCCTCCTTATAAAATGTTCAAAGTATGAGAGACAAAGTCTCACCATCCTGGCTTCTAATGGAACATTCTGGCTGTACTTCCTTCAAAACAGATTTGTTGGTTCTGGCAGTCTATGGTACTTTTAATATTCTTCTCCAGCACCATAACTCAAATACATCCATTATTCTATGGTCTTCTTTATTCACTCTCCCGATTTCACATGCATATGAGTCTAATGAAAATACCATGGCTTTTGTCAGACACACCTTAGACTTCTTCAAACTGACATCTTTGCTATATTGAACCCTTTAAAGGGGCCTTGTGCAGCAGATTTGCCCTGTAAATCTTTACAGGAGCAGAAAGCATCAATTTTCTTCCTCTGGGTGGCTGGTGGATTGGAGGTGCTGACCTTGCAGTTAGCAGTACAATGCTTATACTACCATGCATGATAATATATCTGTAATAAAAGATTAAATTTTAAGTAGCAGAATATAAAACTGTATACTACTTGATTCTAATTATGTTAATTAGTGTAGGTATATGCCTGCACTATATGAAAAAACCTATCTGGAAGGAAAATGTTAATGGCAAATTTGTCGCTGATTAATTTTCTTGTAAGAATTTCATGTTTTCTAAATCTTTAGAAGTATGTTACTTTTGTATCTAGAAAAGTGCTTTTTTCTTTTAAGCACAACATGTAAATCATCCCACACTCTGTTATACCACGCCCCCCCAAAATGTAAAATACTTATTTTAAGAAATGTGAGTATTTCTAGAATTTATTAATTCTGGCCCTAAGTTTAAAGCTTAGTATAGTAAACCAGTACGTGTCTTCCACTCTTTAAAACTTTTGCATCTTGTAATAGTTTATATACATTTGTGATCTTATAATAGTTTTTTGCATCTTGTGATAGTTTATATACATTTTTGATAGTTTCTAAACCTTAGACTTGTGTACTTCAGAAGGTATGATGCAGATGGAAGATTACTTTCTCTTTAAGCTTTGTAATTACTGCTCTTTATGGATTAAGAGAGTGAGGACTCCCTTTAGAAAATTTTGCTAATGTTCATGTATGCCTAGGAAAAGATACAGATGTCTGCAGTTTACATTGATATTTATGAAAAATAAAATGGACTGATGGTTAGAGAGATAGAAACAAATGCTATGAAGGTATAGAGGTCTCGAAAGTAAAATAAACTTACAAGACTGAAAGTAGGGAACCAAAGCTATCAAATTATAATGAAGTCACCTGCTAACCAAAAAGAGGAAATGGTGTTGGTACAAAACGTCCAAATTGTGAGGAAGTTAAGTAGATTTCAAAATAAAATAGATGTTTAAATAGGGGGAGAATTAACAACAGAGTAACTTCAAGAAAATTAATATACCTTCACATCAAAATTTTTAAAAATGGAAAATCAAAGATTGAGTAAACAGCAATGAAGAAATGAAAAGAGAACCCACAAACAGTGAACTTACCACAGAAATGTATGTAGAACAAAGAAACTAGCAACACCACACACACACAAAAAAAACACACAGCAAAATGACAGCAATCAAGTCCTACGTACTGATACTTGTTGTTAAGTGCCGTTGAGTTGGTTCCGAACCATAACGACCCTGTATAGGGTGCGTTTCCAAGGAGCGACTGGTGAGCTTGAACCACCGACCTTATAGTTCAAACAGCTCTTTGTAGTCTGGTGCATTAACCCACAGCGCCACACCAGGACTGATACCTAACTGAATGTAAATGGATTAAATGTACCAGTCCAGAGACAGAGAGTAGCAGAATGGATACAAACTTTGTTACTTACACACAACATTGAAGAATAGTAACATATCTGGGAAACGCCTCTTATACATGCATATGAACCTGGAGGACATTATGCTGAGTGAAACTTGCCAATCACAAAAGTACAAATATTGTATGAGACCACTGTTGTAAAAAGTCAAGAAAAGGTTTTCTTTCAAAAAAAACTTTCTATGATGGTTACCAGGGTTGGGAGGAGGTAAAAACTATTCACAGGGTATAATGTAGACATGTTAATTGGGTGATGGGGAAGGCAATACAAGAGGGATATTGGCACAGGAATGATGAAGGTAGTGAAAGACACAGGCAGAAATGCAAGAGGTAAAGTGAATAGAGGCAAATACGTTTAACTGATGATACATCATTGTAATACATTGCAATCATTGTATTGCTTCACTCAATTCATGACAAAAAGTTTTAAAAAAACAAGATGCAAAAAGTTACCAAGCAAATACAGTAAAATGTGAATTTCAAAATCTGGGTAATATATGGGTGTTCACTATAAAACTCTTTTAAATCTTGTTCTATGTTAAAAAAGTTTTACAACAAAATATTTGGGGAAAATTTTTATAGAAGAAATCAGAAACCAAGTATTACATTTGGATGGTCAAGTAACTTTAGTATATTATGTTTAAGAAATGCCAACCTTCATGTCAAGCCAATCTGTTGGAACTTTTCCCAAATCATATAATTTTGTATAGTTTCAGAAAGAGGCAGTCAGAATTTTTTAAAAATCCTTTCTCTGAAAGCAATTAGCAGTCTATGATTTTAAAGACTCTGGGTGATGAAAACAGGGTGACAGTTTACATAGAGTCTGATAAAAATGAAGAGTTTTTGGATAGCTCAAGGCCTGATTATTGGAACTTAATGGGTTTGGAGGGTGGGGTGAGAGATTTTAAAAGTGAAGACCAGATATTCTTGATTTGGAGGTGTTTCCCCCCCTGAAGATTTGTATTGTTCTGTTCTTGTCAAGAAATGTTCTGGTTTGGCAGATTATTGGTAAAGTAGTTCCTTTTGTCATTAAACAATAAAACTCATGGAAAGACTACAGCAAATAATGGCTGTATGCTCCTCTAAACGCTCTCACTTGGTTGGAGTTACCTGACAGTTTATCGTGCTTCATTCTGTTTTTAAAAAAAACCCCAGGCCTTTTGAGTTGTGTAATTTCCCCCCAAATACACTCATTATATCAAATTACCGTTTAGAACATTTATCTGTGTAATAGATTGCATAAACCAAATTCAGATTCTACTTCTTATGTTAATAAGTTCTACATGAGTCATTGGATTAATGTTTATGTGGTTTTTGAAAGTCATGGACTGACATAAATGGAAGAATGCAGAAATCTTCAGGGAAGGGTTAGAGAGATGGAAACACCGCCTTCAGAAATGTATAAACCTAGATAAGGCGGTGTTATGAGAAATAATTGCATCACATTTGGTATTTTTGTTTGGTAACGGTTTTTAGGATTTTGTGGCTACACTTTTTGACTTACCCAAGTATATGTCTTGTTGAGGTTTCTATTTTATGTTATGAATAATACAACACCAAAGAGTTCCAGATAGGTGTGCACTAATTCCAAAGCCACTTTATTGTTCTGCCATTTGAAAAGCTTAACATTTACAGATGTACTACTTTTGAAGTGAGAAAATTTTGTTTTTTAAGGTTTGTGGAATCTATTAATGATATTGATACTCTTCCCTCCTTCTCCTCCTCCCCTAGGTTATCCATGCCTGGCTTATCATTTCATCTCTACTGTTGCTATTCTTTTTCTCATTCATTTATTTGGGGTAAGTGATTAAATATATCTATTTTTTAGAAATTAGCTCTGGGCCCTGTAACTATCACTTGCAGCATGTTGATAAATTACTCTTAACTTAAAATGATTTCTAAATTATAGATCATAGTTGGTATTTTAGGCAAATTAATATTGTACTCCTTGCTTATAATAAATAGAACTAAAAGAGCTCCAGACTGTGGTTAATTTCAGTCGTCATGTGGTAAGTACTAATTGTAGTTATACATTGGTTCCTAAGATAGCGTAGTTTGAGAATATCATAAGCTGACAAAGGGACAGGGAAGTGAACACTCCCACATTAGTGCAAAACTTTTATTAAGACTAATTTGGCATCTCCATTAAGATCTTAAATGCAGAACCAAATAACATACAAGGATAATCACTGCAGCATTGTTTATAATAACAAAAAAGTGGAATCAAGCTAAGTGTCTTATTTAGTATAAACTGGTTCATTAAAAACAATGAGATATGGAATGTTCTTTATGACCATTGTGAAGAGAAAAGTATCTAATTGTTTTTGTTAGGTGCCACCTCATAGAGACCCCTTCTGACAGAGTAGAACTACCCCATAGTGTTTTCTACACTAATCGTTATTGGAGGAGATTGCCAGGTTTATCTTCTGTGAAACTGCTAGGTGGGTTACAACTGCCACCTTGTTGATGAACAGTCTAGTGCTTAACCATTTGTACTCCCGGAGTACAGAAAAATTATGTGTTGTTAAGTGCCATCAAATTGGTTCCAACTCATAGCAACCCTGTATGGGGTTTCCGAGGAGCAGCTAATGAGTTTGAACAGTTAGAAGTCCAGTGCTTATTCTACAGTGCCACTCCTTTCATATTTGACCACTTTGATTGGATAAGTGTTTCTATGAGTTTATAACAATACTTTTTGCTTTACCCTCAGTATGTATGTGTGTGTGTTGTGTGTATGTGAGGGGTCTTTAAAAAGTTCATGGAAAAAATTATTTTTTCTTTCTCCAAAGAGACCAGGCTTACTGGTCAAATAGAGACTGGTGGAACCCCAGTATTAGTGCTTTATGTCACCTTTGGGGTCTGGAATTGAACTTACTCCATAACTTAAGCCAATCAATAGGTTTATTGGGGGGACGACAACACTAGAGAGGTATGTGCGCCATAGAGTGTAAACCATTTTAGATCAAAGGCAGCATTTACCTAAGGACAAAATTCAGAAGGGTAGGGAAAGGAGGAGAAATAGAAACAGACACAGTGAGGAAGTGGGGGAAGTGGTGTTGCATTGGGAGGATTGCAATCACGGAGAAATGAAGTGTGTGGTTTATTGGATGTCAAACTAATGATCTGCTCTGAAAACCGTCAGTCAATTCACAATAAAAAGTTTTTTTAAATCCACTATTTTTCCATGAACTTTTTGATATCCCTTTATGTATGGCTATACTGACTGCCATTGTATGAAAATAACATTTGTGTCTAATTATAAAATTTATTGGTGCATGTTTAACTTTTTCCTCATTCAAATATTTTGAATTAGGGTTTCCCAAATATATTCTGGAATTTTAGGTGTTATGGTCTCCTTTCAATTTTAATAATCATATACTTCTTTTTACACTCATGGCATAAGATATTGGCTTCCCCTTTATGTAAATGCTATGAAATTTCCTATAAAATAACTTCTGTTGTTGTTTAGTGCTATGGAGTTGGTGCCGACTCATAGTGACCCCAGTGTAGAGTTTTGGAGGCTTATGTCTTCGCAGCAGCAGAAATCCTCATCTTTCCCGCTAAAATCAGCTTAATTCGGTTAAAAAAAAAAGTGAAGTAAAGTGTTAAACAATAGCACAGTTGATGCTAGATATAAAAATATGGAAGTTGGATATGAGTATCTACTGCTTCAGAATTATAGTCCTAAACAGTATTTGGGTAAATATTATTTTACATAAATATTATTTTATAAAATATTTGGTAAATACTGTTTTACCAAAATAAATCTTTGTTTAATGTTTTTAGGGAAGTGTTTAAAACGTATAACGTTGCCATGGACTACATTACCGTTGCACTCCTGATCTGGAATTTTGGTGTGGTGGGAATGATTTCTATCCACTGGAAAGGTCCACTTCGACTCCAGCAGGCATATCTCATTATGATCAGTGCCCTCATGGCCCTGGTGTTTATCAAGTACCTCCCTGAATGGACTGCGTGGCTCATCTTGGCTGTGATCTCAGTATATGGTAAAGACCCGCAACTGACGAATTGTTTTTCACAGAAAGGCCTCACTGCTATGTTTTCCTTTCTCTTCTAGTTATCTTGACTTACGGAAAGTGATTAACAGTTAAACACTATAACCAGTCAGTAAATAATTAGGTATGGTATCTTTCAGATAAAGGATTTTAAAATTTGGAGATTAAGTTCTTAAGAAATGTTTTATTACTGTCCCTGGTTTTGCTCAGTGCTGGGTTACTAAAGGAGCCATAACCTTCTAGTCAGAAGACTTGGACTCAGATCCCATCTCTACCACAGCACTGACCCTCAGAAAGTGAATCAGGTTCTTTTAGGTTCAGTTTCTCATGTGTGGAATATGACCAGTATGTCTCAGGGTTGGGAAAGTTCAGTGTATTGATTATATATGAAAAGCACTTAGTAGAGTGCTTGACCTATAAAATAGACTCAGTAAATGTTTAAAATAGAATTGCTTATGTTTTTATATTAACTTTTTATTGTGAATTGAGTTAACATTTACAGAGTAGATCACCAGTTTTACATTTAGCAAATCCGAACTTTGCTTCATTATAATGATTGCAATCCCCTCCATGTACCAACAGTTAATTTCCCTCTATTCACTTTAACTATTGCTTTCCTCCCTGTGTCTTCCGCTGCCTTCATCTTTCCTCTGGTGACCTTTCTCTTACTGTATATTGCCTGCCCTGTCACCCATGGTAACATGTATGTGCCTTTTAGTCCATGTAAATTAGCTACTTTTTATAAGGCAGCTTGGACAGAATTAATCTTGTTAAAATAAAGCTATTATTTGGATAGTGTGACAATCACTGGGGTTTTTTTAATTGCTTTTTCACTTTTTATTATGACTTGGATGAAGGTTTACTGTTTTTGAGAAATAGGCAGGAGTTACAGAAATAGGTAAAAGAACTAGAAGTTATATACTCTCCATGCTTTGCTTTTCTGTTTTCTTAATTAAAGAGCATCTCTTCTCAGAATTTTTGCATGTTCAAGCTAAACTCCTAAGGAAACAAAATCACATTCTTCTTTAAATTGTTTACCAAGTTATTTGTCTCAGAGTACAGTGGAGTGTGAACAAAAGGCTGCATTTCTTGATGTAAAAATTACTTTTGATTCGCAATGGAGTTTCTAGCCTTAGACCCAAGCACAGTCACCATTAGGAGCCCTAAGTTGATTTTGAGGTACTTTGCACAGATATAAATAAACACACATAGACATATGTATACTAACAGAAACATGAAGTATTTGGATCAAGAATCAGATCAATACAGAGCAGTGAAAAGGAGACACAGGAAGGCCTAGAAGGATCCTTTATCAAACAAAGTGTGTAATGTAGGAGAGAGCATGAATAACTTCTTTTAGAAGGATCAGCACGAGACTGGTCCCTATGAAGTGCAGTTTACAAATAACCCAAATATCAGACTTTTCCAAAATGTTACTTCTTGTTAAGTGCTACTGATTCAGTTCTGACTTACAACGACCTTATGTAGGGTTTCCGAGGAGATGCTGGTGGATTTGAACCACCAACCTTGTGGTTAGCAGTCCAGTGCTGATCCTACAGTACCACACCAAGATGTTATATTACTCCATGATCTCAGATATCTCCTCTCCCTCATGTCCCAGGGTTCTTTTTGCAATTTGTTGCAACGTTTCACAGAACTCAAGAACTGACAAGGAAATGACTCATGCAATTGTGGAGGCAGGCAAGTCCCAAATCTGTAGTTCAGACATCAGTCATGAGGATTCTCCTCACCCATGTTGTTGTAGGGGTCAAGGTACTCAAATCAGCATGTCAGACAACAGGCTTTTGATTCACTGGGTTGTAAAAACTAGTGACTCAGGTCCCAGGAAGCAGAGGCCACACCAGCTGATGCAGGATTCCAGACCAAGAGCACTAGGCTTTCTGAATGACCTTATATTACATAACAGAAATCACTAGAATCAATCTTGTTATCTAAAAAGTAAGGAATTTTCTTGCTCTCCCTTCTCACATACTATTTCACATAGCTGGTATCTTTTTTTTTTTTTTTTTTTAATGTTAATTCAGGCAACAATGTGTCATGGCTGTATTCTATCTGTGTTTATACACACTTGAATATATGTTTTGCATAGTACTCATTGTATATCTGTGATTAAGAATGTGACAGTTCTGGAGACAAACTAGTTAGTTCATATCCAGACTCTTCTATCATTCATTGGCTACCTGGCTGCAAGCAGGTTACTCCCCCTCTAAATCTCAGTTACTGTGAGGATTAAATTAAATAATACATTAAAACATTTAGAGCAACATCAATAAATGTTGTTAGATGCCATCGAGTCGATTCTGACTTATGGCAACCCTATGTACAACAGAACGAAACACTGACAAGTCCTCCACCAGCCTCACAATAGTTGTTTTGAGTCCATTGCTGTTCCCACTTTGTTAATCCATCAATAAATGTTAGCTGTTAATTTTATATATTTATAGAAGGCACTTATTATTTTATTGCTAACAAACCCAGTGTTTATTGAAGTAAGTGATTTACCAAAGCTTATATTGCATGATATAAGATCACAGCCTTCGGTATGGATTACATCTCAATGTAAAGAAAACAAAAATCCTCACCACTGGACCAATAAACAACGTTCTTATCAACAGAGAAAAGATTGAAGTTGTCAAAGACTTCATTCTTCTTGGATCAACTATCAACACTCATGGAAGCAGCAGTCAAGAAATCAAACGACATATTGCATTAGGCAAAGATGTCAGCTTGAGGACTAAGGTGTGCCGGACCCAAGCCATGGTATTTTCAGTAACCTCATATGCATGCCAACAATTGATGCTTTTGAGTTATGGTGTTGGAGGTGCCATGAGCTGCCAAAAGAACCAATAGATCCATTTTAGAAGAAGTACAGCCAGAGTGCTCCTTGGAGGCCAAGATGGCCAAACTTCTTCTCTCATACTTCGGACATATTGTCAGGAGGGACCAGTCACTGGAGAAAGATATCATGTTTGGTAAGGTGGAGGGTCAGAGAAAAAGAGGAAGACCCCCAACGAGATGGATTAGCCAAGTGGCAGCATGGATGGACTCAAGTGTGGCAAGGATAGTGAGGTTGGCCCAGGATCAGGCAGTGTTTCGTTCTGCTGTGCATAAGGTCGCTGTGGGTTGGTACCAACTTAATGGCACCTAAAAACAACAACATATTGCATGATGTAGAATCTGAATTCCATCTCCAGTATTTTTCCCATTACATTACTTTTACCATCAACTCTATTTCTTTCACACATAATGCAAATGATTATTTCTACAGAACTTTGAATTCCTTTAAAATGAGAGATTTATGTTCAGTAATTAGAGTAGTGATTTTCCACTCCATTTTACAAGGCCTCAAGGTGTTTTAGCTTTGCACAAAGTTTCTAAAAATTTCAAAATAAAATTAATTTGAATTGTTCTAAAAATAGTTTTGAGTAAACATCTAAGATACAGCTGTTGATCTCTACTTGTCTAAAGCAAAAGTGAATGATGTAAACAAAAGACATTAAGATACTAGTCTATGGACTCATAGCCCACACTAACCATGAAGAACTAGATGGTGTCCAGCCATCACTACTAAGACCAGAGACACAATAGCAGACCTGTGTTAGAATGAGAAAAACATGTAGAACAAAACTCAAATTCTTGAAAACCGCCAGACTTACTGGCCTAGAGGAGCCCCAAAGATTATGATCCTAAGAAACCCTTTGAAGTTGGAACTGAAACTATTTCTGGAGGTCACCTTTTAGCCTCCGTAACTTCTCTCACTGTAATCAATAACAAAAAATAATAGATTGGCTTACTGAATAAACAATATGACCCATGTGGAATGTTTCTACTTACAGTCAAGTTGGTTCTGACTCAGTAGTAACTCTGGTTAGGGTTTCCAAAGAGCGGTTGGTGGGTTTGAACTACCAGCTTTTCAGTTCAGTGCATTATCCTTCAGCGCCACACCAGGATTTCCGTGAGGAATCTGTTCCCTTAAATAGTCAACTGACATCATCGAGTCATTGTGACTCATAATGACTCTCTATAGGGTTTCTGAGGAGTGGTTGGTGGGTTAAATCTTGCAATTAGTAGTCCATTGCTTATCGTATAACGCCACACCAGGAGTCTAAAATAATCAGCTACATGAGACCAAATGGTCAACATTTACCCAGGAGCAAAGATGAGAAGGCAAGTAGAAAAACGGAAACTAGATCCATGGAAACAACAACCAAATGGAAATCATGACAACGTGGGCACATTAGGGACACTGTAGCTAATGGCATAGAACAATTTGTATAAAAACTGTTAAGCAGGAACCTTTAAACTTTTGCCTAAAACACAGCAAAATATATTTTTTAATGAATTAGCAGTTCTACAGAGATTATGACATAAAACCAAAATGGTTATATAATACATTGAAAAAATCTCCATATTGCACAGCAAAGCAAATTTCCCTTTTCTGATTCAAAACAAGTCAAACTAAAAACAGAGAGAGAGCAAATATTGATGTTTGTAAGTGAAGGTGTGCTTTTAACAATTATTATACCATTCAAGGAAGCATGACCACTGGCAAGTACGAGGTCTTAAAATTAACTGCATCTGTGTCTGCAAAACAGTAATGTCAACACAGGGCATCAGGTCATCACACATTTACCAACCATTTAATATTTTCGAAATATTAGAAGGTATTTTCATTATTTTATATTTGGAATTTTCATGAAATGTTAGAAAAACTTTGAGTGGAAGGAGATGGTGGTAAAACAGGAGTAAGAATAAGATAAGTATGTTGCTTCCACTCGGAGTTACTGTTTGTGTAAAGTAAGCATGGCATTATTTGCCATTTTCAGCACTACTTGTTCTCTGAAACCTGAGTTATTTGTAAAGTGCTTCAGTTTTTCAAGTGAAACTAAAGAAATACTAAAATTTCTCATGCAAAAAGATATTAATTACCTTGTTTCATTTAAATCTACTGCTTACATAGTCCTGAAATGTATACATACACCAGTTTTTTTTTAATTGTAGCAGAAGCTGTATTACATTCACCATTTTTAAAAAGGAAAAGGGCCTAACTCTTCTGTTTTTTTTAAAGTTCTGACAAGTCAGTTCTGTTAAGCTCCCCCTAAGAGTACAGTTCCTGTTGGTAGCTCGTAAGTATAATTAATTTGGAAATGGACTTGTTGCCCTTTCTGCTGCTTGTAGATTGACCACGCCCTAGAGTAATTCTGTATTACCATTCTTTCTGTCTCACCTTCAAACTGGTGAGACTTCCTTCTAGAACTCAGAGCTAATACACTATAGACTAAACAAATAACAAATGAAATGTGCATATATCTTGTATATTATTGGGTGAGTCAGCATATTTTTAGAGTTTTCCCCTCTACAAGCTTACTTGCCATTTATTTCATATTCATTCAACTTCTATTTATGTCAACAACAACAACAACAAAGTCACCAATCAAGCCTTTTCCTTGATGAATTCCTTCCTAGACCCTAACACACCTGTTTACATGTTTAGCCAGTACATTTTACCAGATGTCATTTCTATTTTCTCTTCTAGATTTAGTGGCTGTTTTGTGTCCAAAAGGCCCACTTCGTATGCTGGTTGAAACAGCTCAGGAGAGAAATGAAACTCTCTTTCCAGCTCTTATTTACTCCTGTAAGTATTTCTGAGTGATGTTGAATTGATTATCACCTTAGAGTTTCTAAGAACTCAAACACATGTAATTATGATCGTTATCTGAAATGTGTGTAAGGGGTAATGCAGCTCTTGTTTCCTGCAGAGTATTATCTTTTACCTGACATTGAGTCAACAGAGTTTTTAATATTGGTGAAAAGATAAGAAATATTTAGTTTTTGGGGACCCAGTATCTTCATTTAAAATCTTATTAGTCAAGAGTTGTTGAGCATTTATTTGTGTGTATGTGGTTTTTTTTGTTTTGTTTTGTTTTTTAATTTAAGGTTTTTATTGTGGATTGAGTGAAAGTTTACAGGGCA